GGGACAAGATACACTTCTTAAATAAGGCTTTTGAAGAACCCCTGCAGGTCTGAAAAATCCAAATGCTGTTTGAACGCTGCCCATGGCTGGGAGCACACAACCTCTTGAGTGGGCTTCTTCAACGCCATGGCAGTTTTGCCTTTGGGGAGTTCTTTAATTTTTTTGAACATGTTAAGCCTAAATCTGCCACCTTAAAACTTCAGTCCACGTGATCTAATTTTTTGTCTTCTGGGGCTGCCAACAACCCATCCCCACCTGGAAACACTTCTCTCGGCTACATATTGACCATTTAAACACCTGAGGCCAGCTGCCCTGTCTCTACTCAGGGCAAAACAACGGTTCGTCGTACCCAAATTCAGTGCTCAGTTTGGGTAACTTTTACAAGGTGGTGTGTGGCAGTGGATGTGACCCTCCCAAATGAACCTGACAGGTGTAGGACACTACCTCCCGGGACACGCCCCACTGGCACACCAGGCCGCATTCTACACCATCCCAGTTCGTGCCCAGCCTGGTCACTGCACACAAATCACTAAGCCAGGTGTCCTCAGTTTGGCTCTTGTGCAACTGATTTTTTTTTTTTTTTTTTAACCTGGGGGTGGGGTATGCCGTCTGTTTTTACCCAACACCTTTCATCTCCTGGTTCCAGTAGAGTGTTCGAGATGCAGAGTATTGATTCTGTCATTCAGCACATCAGCTCTCCCTAATGACTCTGTGTCATCTGCAAATTTGATAAGCGTGCCTCTGATGTCTTTATCAAGCCCCTGGTTCCACTGCTCAGCAAGCCAGGGGGCAGCAGTCCACCAGGGGCCCTCTCCCGGGACGACATGGAGCCATTCATTTATCCACACTCTGTGGCAACCGGTGCTCCATCAGTTGTGAATCCACCTGCCTCTCAGAGCTCTTTCAAACCTTGGAACTGGCAGCAGCAGAACCATATGTGAGACATGGTGTGAGCGGAGGAGCGGGGCCTGCTGTGGTTGAAGTGGGAAGGTGCTTCCTCTACCTGCCCTCTGCCCCAAGGCAGCGGCATGGAAGAGCATCAGAAAAGCCTGGATCCACACACCAACTGTCTGCTTCTATGTACCAGGCTGACTTGCAAAGCTGAGGCCAGTCTGTCAGACAGATGGAGAGAGGGGACGGTGCCTCAACCCCAAGGCCAGCCTATGCTGAGCAGGGTGCACGGAGCAGACAGGCAGAGGGTGGAGCAGCCTGGAAGCCCAGAGAGAAAACGGGGGCTCCCCACTCCTCGAAGAGGTGGCACGCCCTTCTCAATTGGAAACGGTCAGGAAACATGTGCAGAGATGTATGAGTGTGAGAAGAGTCACTGAACAAGGAAGAGGTCTGCAGAGACACATTGTCATCCTGTCTTTTGCCATGAACTTTACCAAACATTGCATCCGATTCACTGGATACAGCCAAGGGGCTCCCTCTTCTCTCCAGGGGCCCAACCATTCTGAAAGGACAACCGAGATATGGCCTCCCGACTAGCATTCCCTGCAACAACAGGAAGGAAACAGGCAGGAAGCGCTTGTTCCTAGGGCTGGCACCTGCCTCTAGAGCGCGCAGTTCTGCTAGGACCATGAGGTCCTCAGGTAATGACTCATCAACTCCGGAGAAAGTCCACCAACCGCTCCTTTTGCCTGAAATAAGCTGGGGATAACAGCTCTCCAAAAAATGGCACAGAATTCTTTGAAATATGAGTAACAACATAAGAAATGGAGGCAGAGCACACGTTTTTAGTTTTTTTAGCTAACATTGTCTTTTTCTTTTTTTATTATGTTATGTTAGTCACCATACAATACATCATAAAAGCTCGAGCTCAAGCTGGCAACAAGGTCTGCTACTGGCCCTCCTTTGGTCCCTTGCAGTCCCAGCCGGGGATTTGCTGGGAAAAGGGCCTGCTATCCCTTGGAACCAGCTCGCTAGTCCTCCTGGCCACCTCCAAATCTGGTCAGTAGAGGGCGCTGCATCACCGCACACGCTCGCTCTCTCTAGCCCTGCTGTGCCACCTGATCCCTGCGTCCACACAAAAGACCACACTTGGAAGTATTTCTTATGCTTACGCTCTAGTCAGAAAAGGACCCAAGGAGTGCTCAGAGACTCAGGAGTCATCAGGGGCAGGGGGGAGCTGCAACACAGGGTCCTAGGCTGTTGGAGAAGCATTTGCTGCAAAACTGAGCATGTGCCTGGATCTGGGCGGAGTGCTACGAGGTAACAGGCACTGGACATGGTTCCTGCCCTCAAGGAGTTCACAACCTGACCACAACCCAAGGTGAAGGCACGATGGCTGAAAAGAAGCATTCAGAGAGGAAAGCCCAGCCCAGGCCCAGCCCCAGGGTGTTCAGGGAAGGCTTCCTGGGAGAGGCATCTGAGCCAACATCTAAGACAGGGGATTTGAGACACATCGTTGTATAGCTGTCCGCAGGAGCAAAGGCACAGAAACACGAAAAAGGAAGGGAAGGAGAGACTACCAGTTTAGCTTAAATTCTGAAGCTTAGGGATGGGGGAGAGCAGAGGTCCCAGGAGCTGGATTTGGAAGCCTTCACCCTACAGGCCCACTGCAGACCCCCACACCAGGAAAACAAGTGTCTCCCGCAGCCCACCACCGGAGAGAAATCTATCGGATTCCTCTGCTGGGGAGATCACAGACCTGAAGCCTCAAGGAAATAAGATGCTCTTCGTTTCACAAATCTTCAGTGGAAATACTGAGTGAAACATCAGCATTTCATTTTTTTAAAGTCAAAGGTACTGAATAGGAAAACAATAGAAAAAGCAAAGACACCCCCCCCCTCCACGATTCATTAGGAGGCTCACAGAGATGTGCATACCACCTGGAAAGGACTGCCCAGCGAAAGAGAACTGGGGACAGACAAGTGGCATTTACCCGGAAGCATTAATGTAACATTCAATTATCCTTCGGCGTACCGGTGGGCTTAACCTTACAGCCACATGGGAATACGTTTTTATCTTATTTTATTTTTAAAGATTTATCTGAGGGAGAGAGAGAGAGAGAGAGACAGAGATAGCAACAGAGAACAGGGAGGAGAAGGAGAAGCAGGCTCCCAGCTGAGCAGGGAGCCCAACATGGGGCCCGATCCCAGGACCCCAGGATCATGACCTGAGTCGAAGACAGACGCTTAACCGATTGAACCACCCAGGCACCCCGGGAATACACTTTATATGGACTATTCTGACATCTATTTCATTTGGCAAGTAAAACAAAACTGATCCAATTTCCTTGTAGCCCTTGTAACCACAAACTGTACAAGAGTTTTACATAAAATACATAAACCTTATAAACCTTTTGTTCTAACGCACTACCTTCAATTCTGCCTGGCTTCCCGTGGCCTGCGTTCTCGGGCCCTCTCGCTTCAGCTGCTAGTGACTGTGTTCTCTCGCTGCCTGGCAAACTTCTGGGGAGGTCGCTCTTCCTGCTTTAACTGGGAGAAGCAGTGCTCTTGATCCAACAGAAAAGTTATAGCCAGCCCGGAGGTGGGGCCCAAGCCTAGGCCCTTCCAGATCATGTGATGTCAACAGGCAGCAGCTGTAACCATTCCAGAACTATGGGTTTGAGCTGACCCCGGGCACAGGTGATGGGTCTGAGCTGACCCCGGGCACAGGCGACAGCACGCAGCTGTGCCGATGCTCTGGGTATTGAGAAAGGACCGTGAAAATGCTGACCTGAGCTGTGTTAGCCCGGTACCCCTAAACTGGAGGCACTCCACTGCTCACCCTGCGACTCTGGGAAGCTCACTGGCTCTTCCTGTCTCTTCGTGCCAATTCAAGACTAAAAGCTACTTGTCAAGTTTCAGGCCATTCCGAGTAGTCAAGCTGAAGTATCATTCTGGGTTTGTGAAACTGTCACCAAGAAAGACTAGACCCGAAGGACAGAGTCCTCTGCGCTGCTGGCTCACGACAGTGGCGCTCTTCTGAGGGGGGCAGACGCTCAGCCAGAGGAACAGGGCGCAGAGAACCGGCGGCCACACCTCTCGTCTGCACCTCCCGGAGGGCAGGGTGTGGTCTGTGGGCCCCGGAGGAGCCCCACAATCTGTTCCTGACAGACACTGTTCATCTCTATTCACCCATGTGGAAGCTTTTATAAAGACTCATTCTCGTTTATGCTACATCCATCCCCAAACAGCACTGTCTCACCAATTCTTGTTTTATTTACTTTTGTAATCACTTTCTCAAATTTAATCCCTCCTTGCTGTTTGTTCCTTGCCCTCAAATAATTCACTACTAGTAAGGCACAGGGTGTTTTTTTTTTATTATTGAACTATAGCTGACATACATTGTTATATTAGCTTCAGGTGTACAACACAGGAAATCGACAATTCTCAACATTAGGCAATGCTCACCACGATAAGTCAGTGCTGAGAGGTTAAGAGTTTTCTTTTATTTGACAGGATTCTTTTTACCACCTGCTTTTTGCAGAGACCATGACTACCTCTATTAAACTGAAATCAGGTGCCGAGTGACCCGTTTGCTCACCTAAGTTTCTTTGTGGAGTTACTGAAACCAGCTCCCCCAAAAACCTTCTCGCTATTCTCTCATACCCAAACTGCCCGTTTCTTAGTTTGTAGCTCACTGGGAAAAGAAACAATATGAAAACGAGCAAAATTACTTACCAACCCTCAAATGAGTTGTTGACCAAGGCAGAGAAGGAATTCTGCCTTCTTATGGCCAACCACATGGCTACAAATCATGTGTCTGTGTGCAGCTATGAGCTCTTTAGAATAGCCAGCCAATTTAAAGTTGAATATTCTGCTATCTTAGGAGCCTGCAGAATACGTACAAGATAGAATACAGAATGGCCTTTACATTTGTGTAATGCAAACATTTCTAATTGGATTTTTAAAAATCTCCTCTAGCGGTGTATTGCTTCTGCAGTTTTCAGTAGATACTAAGTGGAGGTGTTCTAAAATGTCACGCAGTGAGACCCAAGACCACATCACTGTAACATGCGTTAACAGCACAGGACACCACTGACGAGGCCTCACCTGGGGAGATTGGGGGCTGGGGTGGAAGCAGCTGATGACTGGGAAGGTGTTGTGGGTTGAGATGAATCATGATTCCTCGGTACTTTGCCCATTCGATACCAGATCCCCATGCTGTTCAGTTCCCTTTAGGAGAAAACAGAAATCTTCATAGTGTGGTTCAGCACAAAGCATTTACCTGAGCAACAAAGCAAACCAACCCATTTAAAAGAATTGCAGTCCCCAACACCAGGGAGTCCACTCTGGCCCACAAAGATCAGTTCCATCACCACCCTTTGTGCTCAGGGTGTCAGAGGTCAGAGCCTGATGTGAAGTCAACTGTCCCAACGAGGCAGGCTCTCTGATTTGCCATCTTCTTTACCTGCGCTGGAGCCTGCCTTCTTACTACACTATTGATGTTTTCCTTGGTTCTCAGTCTTCAAAATTCTTTTTATTTTGCCACTTCATTATAGGTAATTATGTAATAATCCACTTCAAGTTCTTTGTATGGTTAGGGTGAGACAGATGGGGCAACAGCAGGCGAACGGGTGCATGTGCCTGTTTGGTTTTTTTTTTAAGACTTTATTTGGGGGGGCAGGAGTGGGGGCAGGGAGGAGTACAGGCAGAGGGAGAAGCAGGCTCCCCACTGAGCAAGGAGCCCGACACAGGGCTCAATCCCAGGACCCCGGGATCATGACCTGAGCTGAAGGCAGATGCTTAACCAACTGAGCCACCCAGGCGCCCGTATGTGCCTGGTTTTTTTCCCTATGAGGGGAATTAGCCCCACCCTGTTCAAGGACGTGTCCCAACGTCTGGATAAAGCTCCCATTGCCTGGATATCACCTGCAGTTGGCTTCATTCTCAGGGGCAGCTGGGGAGACCTCTTCAAACCACAAAGCCTGAGGCATGTGCCTCATGGACCACTGCAACCAAGAGTGATCACAAAGGGGCTTGACAGATGCCACATCAGGTCTCCTGTTCCCTGATGTGTGCCCCTACCCCACCCCATTATGAGTGTTTACAAGACAGGTTTGGTCTTAGAAACTGGAACAGGGTTATTTTAGCCACATCCAACTTAAAACTTCTCAACTCCCCCATCGAACTGCATCTCATCAAACAATGAGGACAGATTTATTCAGTGGAGAATCCTGGCAGCTTCTCAGTACACTACAGGAACTACTCTAAACCACAATCACGTCCTACCAGGTGGCTGATTCCCATCGGCCACCCTGATTCCACCACACCTCGGCGATGGCCCCATGGTCCTGGCCTTGGAGGGGCTGTTCTCAGCCTGAGGTTTGTCTCCCCCAGCCGACAAGCCTGAACTCTTGCAGAGTAATGTATGTGCTCATTTTTAAGAGAAAGGTGACTCAGAGTTCTGGACACTGTTCTTTTTCCTTCCTTAAAAATAATACTGGAATTTTCTTCTTCTGAAAAGGAGTTTTTGCTCTAAGATGATACAAAATATGCTTTATTTAGCAATCTTTCCAAAATGATATAAAAGAAAGAAGGCTCTAATTTTGATTATCAAGATATATATGGTAACAATCTATTCTTTAGAATTGTTTAAATTGGTTAACAATTGAGTCTTTTAAAGTACTACAGCTTGTAATTAAAAATATACATAGTAACTGAAATTAGACTTTAAAAATTCATTGTTAAATTGTTGCTTTCTACTATTTATATGTAAATGGCTGCTTCTAGGTACCTGAAGTACAGTCATTTTTTTAACTATTTCCTCCTCCCGTAATCCTGTTCATATAATTAGTTTAAACCATGTTGCAAAACAGGACTTTGGATTGTGTAGGAAGGGGATGATCACAGAATTCTGAGACAGAGCATTCGGATTCCACAGCCGAAGAGTCTAAACGAACTTTCATGCACCAGGATGAAAATCATCTGCTCCCGTGACACCTGTTCTCCAGGTGCTCCACACAAACACCACACCTCCAGGCCATCGCCCACAGGGAAAGGTCCACAGAGAAAGGTCCGGTTTGTAGAGTGAAGACCTGGGTTCAAGCGAACAAGAAGCAAAACAGAACACAACCCAGATCCAGAGGCCACTGCAAAAGCCAAGTAGGAGAGCACACCCATGGGGACCCAGGGGGATGAGCGGGGTACCTGCAGACCTGGCCAGGGAAAGAGGGATGCCGAAAACCATCTCGGGGACTCATTAGTTTGAGAGACCTGAATTCCGTTGACTGAATGTAATAAATACTCTTATCTTCTGGGCATCCAGCATCCATTCACCCCTCTTTCTGACTCGTTGCCTGCTTCCTTCCATATTCGGGGGGGCAGTCAACCCCCCAGTCTTAGCCTCTGGGTTCCAATGGAGTCAGTCCCATTTCCAGCTCAGTTCTGGTTTCTCAGACAATGACACCTGTCCAGGTAGCAGTCATGGGTTCAGGGCACAGGACTTCAGTGAGATCAATTAAGGCCAGTTAGACTGAATTCTAGAACCTGTTTGAATCATCAAGAACGTAGATTTGCTCTTTGCCTCAGAAACTGAACCTGAAGGAAAAGTAGGTAGAGCTCCCACACCGCCAGGAGTCCACTAACTAGGGGAGAAGATGTGGAAGAATGGGACCCACACTTTGGAATCAGAGCAAGGAGGTGAACGGGGAAACTAGACCCTCGTGATGTCCTCTGAGCACCTACTTCAAGCCACACCTGAAGCCATCCTGCCCCCTGAACTCCGCTGTTATGCAAGACCACAAATTCTTCCTTTTGCTTGAGCCAGCCTGGGTTGGGTTTCCTGTCACTTACAAGCAAGAGTCCGGAATGAAATCCTGAGATTCCCTGTCTTCGTGTTTACAAAATAGCTACAGAGCTGGGTCCATGCCTAGTACTGAGGCTACCAGGTATACGAGACACAGTGGGCCTAGCCCTCAGCTGTCCTCTGCCTATCAGAGAAGATGAACATGAGACCAGAGAAGTACACAAGGAATTATCATGTAGTCATGTGATACTCATGTTTCTTCCTGACTCAGACCTTCCAGTGGCTCTCCAGCGTGCTTGGGATAAAATCCAAACTGCCGCTATGCTAACCGCTCATCCCAAAGCCCGACTCATCCTCGCTCACCCACATCAGCTACACCAGGCTGCTTTCTGCTCCTGAACATGCCACACCCATTCCCACCTTTACTCTTGCTCTTCTCCTGAGCCTAGAAGGCTCTGCCTTCAAATCTCTGCATGGCTGACTTCTTCTTGACATTTACATCTCTGCCACATGTCCCCACCCCCACCCACCTCCGACACCCTCACTGAAGTAGCCTCCATTCACTGCTGTGTTTCATTTTCGCCACTAATGAAATGGTCTCACTCATTTATTACTTGTTTGTTGCTTGTCTCCCCTTTTAGAATACCAACTCCACGACAGCCAGGCTTTGCTTGCTCATTCACCACCATATCCAGGGTCTTTGGCCCAGAGGTACAAATGGGTGCTCCTCAAACTCTAGTGGGGTGAATAAACGATGCAGAGAGTTGAGGCCGAGTGGTCAAAAAGGAGAGGACACCTGGGCTTTCAGCTATGTGGGAAGGTCCCCGAGGAGCCTGAAGGACGAACACACAGAAGGACAAGGGAAGGAAAGGCCCTTAGATGGAGCGAGCAGCATGGACAAGGCACAGAGAGGTCAAGAGCTCGGCACCTGGACTGGCAGCAGCATTAGCAAGAAGGGCAGTGATGAGAGCTCAGGCCGGAGAGGCAGGTGGCTGAGAGCCCCGTGGGTCCCACGGCCTCAGGACTTTTATCCCCAGGAGTGACCTGAGCTCTCTGGGCAGAGAGAAGAGAGGACATCTGTGTTACTAAGACTTACCCAATAAACGTGTACTGAGGAGGGGCCTGCTTGGTCCGGCCCATGATCCGAATGTCACAAATTGCAGCTTCAGTTGAATCCCGTGGGATAAATTTAATGCACAGCCTCTTTTTTCTAAAAGCCAATTCCTCTGAAGAAAAGGACAACAAGAAAAGGCATGAGTCTTCCAGAGATGCCAACATCTCTGTTCTGAGTGCCGTGTCTCCTGTCATGTTCCCTTCCTGGTGGCAGGAGCGACTAGCCATCCAGGTCGCGGGGCTGCGCCCCTCCTGCCCTCCACAGGGTGCAGAGGCAGTGACTGTGGCGCAGGCACCAGTCACCCTGCCCTGCATCTGGGACCTGACCCCAGGCCCCTCTGTGGGGAAGGGCTCCCAAGGACATGCAGAGCTGGAACGAACCCGTGGGGCTGGCTTCTAAAGGCCACAACCACCATCTGCTCACTGCTCAAGCCATCAGGGACATACACACAGGCACCCTGAATATTAACACTTTTGCCAGGTGGACTTTTCTTCTTTTTTACTCTTTATTATGGGAATTTTCAAACATTTCCCAAAGTGGGGAGAACAACAGACTGAATCCACCCGGTCCCCTCATCCAGTTTCAACATTGCCAACAAGGCACAAGCTGCTTTCGCCTCTCCCCCCTAATCCGTGGCGGTTTTGCTAGAGGATTTAAGATGAATCCCCACACTGTGTCATGTCACCCATCAATATCTCAGTAGGCATCTATGGCAAACAATTTGTTTTATTATGACCAGCAGGCTATTATCATACCTAACAAAATGAACAATGATTCCTTAGTATCACCCAGTAGATAGTCTATATTCAAGTTTTCTCCATTGTCTCAAAAATACCATTTAACTATTGCTTTGCCTGGATCAAGATCCAAACGATGTCGATGCACCGAATATGGTTGTTAGGCCTCTTGGGTTCCTTTTATTCTGTAAGGACCTCTCTACCCTCCCCTTTCCTTCAGGCCACTGGTAAGCTGGGGAAATTGGGTCATTCTCCGGTATTTCCTGTGAACTGGCAGTTAGAGCAAAAGGCTTGATTAGATGCTGGTTAGATTATTTTTTTTAGGTAGGAACGATTCACAAGTGGTGCAGAGATGTCTGACAGTGTCCTGTCGCAAGGCATGGAGTCCAGCTCTGCCACCCTGCGTGGGGTTCTGGTGGGGTCGGCCTGCGACCTGGGTCATAACAAGTCCCCAGCAACTGTTCTTTGGGCAGCGTTTTCATCCCCTGATGACTGCTGCTTAGATTCATAATTTCACTAAAGTTTTCAAAATGGTGATTTTCTAATTCTGTGATTCCTTCTGTATTTATTAGCTGGAATTCTTCTACATAAAAAGTAACTTTTCTTCTTCAACTACTTGCTCTCCCTGAAAAAGCTTTGGCACAGGAAAGGAAAAATAAATACGTGTGATTCTTTGCTCTTATTTATTAAATCTTAAAGCAATGAGCTGGCGATCTAGCAACCGCCAATGGTGACTAACCAGGTGTTTTTTGTTTGTTCATTTGTGGTTTTTAAATATGAACTCCAATCAGTTGCAGACACCGGATACAGGAGTCAGGTGTGCCTGGGTTGAAATCCCAACTCGGCCATCAGCTCTATGATCTTAGGCAAGTGACTTAATTTCTCTGAGCCTAGGTTTCATTATCTGTAAAACGGAGTTAATGAAACCCCACCCCAAAGGGACGTCGGGTGGATGAAATGTGGTAACACTTCCTATGCTTCACCTAGCCCAGCGCCTGGCACACAGTAAGTGCTCAATAAAGCATAGCCATGAAAGTTCTTATCATCATTACTACCGGTAAGCCTCCAGGGCACAATTTATGTCAGCGTTTGGCATTGACTTTCAAGACCTTTCACTTCTGGGGCAGGAAGTAAGCACACTCAAATCAGACACCGAGTGGGGGGGGGAAGGACAGTCACGCCACTGGTCCTGGCTTGACCAAGGGGAGATTACCGTCAGTCGTGTTGTCTTATTGTTGACTGGGGGGAGGGTGTCTTTTAAAGAGCCAGGTAGAAACTCAGAAACTCGGTGGGTTCTTCTCCCAGGCAAGGAAACTGAGGGCTAGATCAGATATATGAGCTTTGAGTAATAATGTCCTGAATCCAGACCCCAGACATTATACCCTACAAGACAGGGATGGTATCCTGGAGGAAAACACCCATACCAACACCGCACCTTCGAAAACTATTAGCTGGTAAGATCAGACCTGGTAAAGCGTGAAGAAGGTGAGATGAAAATGCAGGTCTATTACTTGCTTTTGCCACGCTGCTCTTTGCTCTGTTCCTCCGTCTACAGCAACTCGGGGTAAGAGATGAAGCCACTAATTACACATGCTTAAACAGGCCTAATTTTAAGTAAACATATTATACAGAGTCAATAGAAATGTGTTCAGTCATGCTAATGAACACAGGGAAAGGATACAGCACTTTACTAAAACAAACAGTCTTCCAGTTTCTAAGTGCTGTGTGGATAGCAACAAACTATTTTAAATTCATTACAGGAGTCTCATCTTTTTGGCTGACTTTATAAAATCGGGGCCTTAAATGCACTGAGACTTCACAGAGCTGACCACAGGTTCATCCGGTCAGCCTGGGCTCACCGTGCCCCCCCTGGGGACAGGCTCTAGGAAATGACCACACAACCCAAAATGAACAGGCTGCCCTAAACCCACCCTTCTTGTGTGATAAGACGCTTGTTGGTGATGCCAAGACCTGCCCTCAGAATGCCCACGGGCAGCAACTGTCAGGGGGAAGAGGCCTCCCACCCAGGACCACCGGGGTCCCACCACAGCTGGACCACAGGCCCAGGCAGGACGCAGCCCTGGGCCTCCTCACTTAACTGGTTCAACAAATTAAGAGGAAAATGCAGAATGGGAAATCCCCTTGTGGCTCCAGAGTCTATCAATATAAAGACATTATAAGTCAATTAGTTGTCAAAAATGAACACCAATGCAAATTTTGAAACTAAGAAAAGCACGAGGGAGAAGTAGGAAATTAATACAAGTCTACAAGGCAATTTTAGCTCCTAGGCAGACAAGTCATATAAGAGTAAGCAAAAGCAGCAAGCAAACACTCGTGAAAATGTTCAGACTTGCTAATAAATGATGACATGAAAATTAAATAAAATTAGAACAGTAAAACTGAATAAAAATTTAAAACCTATGCTGGCAGGACTGTGGAAAACAGGCACAAGCCTGTATCATTAGTGGCACCGTGAACTGGTATTTCTGGAAGTTAATGTGGCAACAGAGAATAATAAAGCTTATCTGTACGAAGCCCATCCTCTGAGCAAGGCACCGTGTATGGTAGGTGTCTCAGGTGATTCACAAGTGAATTAAACATGGATCTTGCCCTCAAAGAAAGAGGTAAGTAGTGCAGATGTGCATAAAAACATGTAAGCAGCTAAAATGCAAGCTTTACATTATGAGGTAGATACTAATCCCCCCATTTTACAGATAAGGAAACCGAGGCCTAGAAAGGTGAAGTCATTTGCTTGGGGCACTAAAGCTGTAAGCGGCAAAGCCAGGCAGTCTCAGGTGGGTCTGACTCCAGAGTCCAAGTGCTGCCTGCCCTAGGCCAAGCCGCAGTGCGTCCTGACAGAGTTGAGGTGGGAAGTGAGAGACAGAATCTATTCTTCCTTTGGCTTCTGGCCACTGTAACCTGTGGTGCTTCCCTCCCTCCCTCCGTCCACTGAATGTGTGCTGAGCCGGGTGTGATGAAAAGCAGCAGAGAAGGCAGATGGTCCCTGATCTCTCTGACGAGAGAGAGCTCTCTCTGATTATGCTGTGATGCAACTCCGTGTTTTCAGGGCCAGGTCACCCACCAGACTAAGCTCCCAGAGGGAAAGGCCAGCATCTCAGTCAGTTGCCTTCTCTCACAAAGCCTGCGGTGCCTACACAAGGCATTCATCAATCTCCACTTACTGTGGAAGAGAGAGAGCTTGCTTGAAACTGGTATCAGGGGGTCAGAGACGGTTTCATGCAGGGGGCAGAATTAAAGCTCACCCTTGAAAGATACAGGGTGTGGACACTCAGAGTTGAGGGAAAGGGCTTTTCAGACAGGGAAAAAAATAACGAAGCAAATAAGTAGAGCCAGGAAAGAAACAAGGGTGAAGAGCGCACAGTGAGTGCCTCAGTTTGGGTAAAGTATAGGGTGCTTGAAGATGAGGAAGACGTTTCTAGAAGAAGGCTGGAGCAGACCGTAGAGGACCTAAGACCCAGTAGCCTCCAGTACTTGGAAACGCATCACAAGAAAATCCTTCAAAATCGATGCATACCCAAACTGGTTTATAGATTCAACACCACTCCTACCAAAATATCAGCTAGCTTCTTTGCAGAAATGGACTAAGCCTAAGATCCATATGGAAATTCAAAGGACCCAGACTAGCCTAAATAATCTTGAAAAAGAAGAATGAGGGTGGAAGACTCATACTTCCTGGTTTCAAAACTTGCCACAAAGCTACCGTCATTAAGACTGCGTGGTACTGGCATGAGGAAAGACATACAGATCAATGGAAGAGAACTCAGGGTCCAGAAAAAAACTCACATTTATGGTCAACTGATTTTCAACAAGGATGCTGAGACAATTCCATGGGGGAAAGACTAGTCTTTTCAAGACATGATGCTGGAACAACATGACATTCACATGCGAAAGAATAAAGGAGGACCCCTATCTCACACCATACACGGAAGTTAACTCAGAATGGATCAAAGACATAAGTGTAAGAGCAAACACTACAAAACCCTCAGAAAAAAAGAAAAACAGGCAGTGACCTTGAATTAAGCAATGCTTTCTTAGGTATGACACCAAAAACATAAGCAACAAAGGAAAAAAAATAAACAAACGAAACTCCATCAAAATAAAAAGCTAGTGTATTTCAAAGGACATCAAGAAAGTGAAAAGAAAACTCAAAGAAAGAACATTTTGCAAACCATATAATTAATAAAGGGCTCATATCTAGAATATGTTCAAATATTTATAACTCAATAATAAAAAAGACAACCCAATTTAAAATGCCAGAGGATCAGAATAGACATTTCTCCAGAGAAGATATACAAATGGCCAGCAAGCACACAAAACTATGCTCAACACCATTAACCATCAGGAAATGCAAATCGAAACCACGAGAGACCACTTCGTGCCCAGTAAGATGGCCAGAATAATAAGAACAAGTGTTGGCGGAGATGCGGTGACACCGGAGCCCTCATGTGCCGTTGGTGGGGATGTAAAATGGCACTGCTCCTTTGAAAAATAGTCTGGCAGCTCCGCGAGAAGTTAAATATAGAGTTACCATATGACTCTGGCAGTTCCACTCCTAGGTACGGCCCCACGAGCAATGAAAACATGTGTCTCCACAAAAACCTGTATGTGAATTTCCACAGCAGCACCAGTCTTAACAGTCCAAAGAGGAAACAACCCGAATATCCACCAACTGAATGGGTAAGCAAAAATGCAGAAGTCCACAGAACGGGATATGATTTGGCAATAGAAAGGCATAAAGTACTAACACATGCTACAACATGGACCTACCTTAAAAATGTTATGCTTGGTGAAAGAAGCCCATCACAAAAGACCACATGTTGTAGGATTCCACTTACATGAAATGTACAGAACAGGCAGGTCTGTATAGAAAGTAGATCAGTGGTTGCCCAGGGCTGGAAAGGGGTGAGAAGGGGCAGGTTGGAGAGGAATGGGAAGTGACTGCTAATGGGTACAGGGTTTTGGGGGGGCGTGTGATGAAATGTTCTAAAATTAATTGTGGTAAGAGTCACACAACTCTGTGAATACCCTAAAGACCACTGAATTGTATATTCCAAATGGGTAAATTAATGGTATGTGAATTATATCTCGATAGAACTGTTACCAACAACACCTGATGCATAAATGTATTAAATCTATCTGTAAAAGGCACTTAACCACATGCTGCGACAGGGTTGCGCGGTGGTTAACAGTAGGGCTGGAGTCAGACTCCTGTGTGTCTTCTCGTGACTCCCTTACTTCCAGACGTGTGATCGTGGATAAGTCCTGCAAACCCTCAGGAGTTACTGTGTCCCACTGTCCTCACGTGGGATGTGTATAACAATACCCATCTCCGAGCAGGGGTCTTCTGGAGATCCAGTGACGTCAGGTACGTAAAGCACTTACCACGGGGCTGAGCATCTGGTAAGTCACATACCACATATCAGCTAGCATGATTATTAGCTAATACATCTAATAAGAAAAGCAAAATGTCCAAAAGTGAGAGGACTATTAAGAAAACAAAAATGTGCGATACAACGGACTTGACTTGTTTCGAGAAAATGACGGCTGAGTGGCAGCTGAGTAGATAAAGTCTGGTCAGTACGAAACGCTAGCAAGAAAACAGTGAAAGATTATGGGTCCAAAATGGGGCTAACTATGGAAAGATAAAGTATGCGTGACAAAGAATGAGATAAAGGATTGCATAAATGAATCATGGGTAATAAAGAAAGGACTCTGTTTTTCATTTACTGCTTCACCGCTGGAGACTTCCTAAAGTTAGTGACAGTAATTAAAAATAAAACAAGTTAAGTTAAATCAAAATGAGGAGGCTCAAATATCCAGAGGTTTTCCAGCATTATTTAATAACCGACAGGCATGACAAGAACGGCAAAGCCCTTCCAGATCCTGAAGAAGCTTCGGTTGGTCGGTGATTCGCTTTTGCTCACTGTGGTTCAGGGGTCAGCGTATTCATTCGGATTTGATCCTGTGTCCGCTAACGTGCAGTCTTTCTGGTTCTGGCTTTTCTTGTGTGCTCCAAGAGCCAAAAATAAGGACATTATTGCACTTATATTCCTTGGGCGTCTCTGATTTTTTTTTTCCTTTTGCTTCTGGGTCTTGTGCCAAGCTTGGCTTCCACGACACCAGAGGATGTGGACTAAGTAGGGACTATAACCAGTTTCACCGTTCCATTCCTGAGTGAGCCGATTCAGCAGGGAGCCCATTCTAAGAGAAAAGGACATTCTGCTCATTTACATGCTGCTACCCAGAACACCACAAACTCCTCGGAGAACCAAGTCAGACACGCGGCAAAAGCAGCAGGGTTTATTCACGGGCATGCAGCAAGGCCTCCTAAAATGTTCCCAAAGAAAAATGCACACACAAAACATCTAAAAATATACCTGGTGGAAGAAAAGTCCCATTGTGATGAGTGGTACTAAAGGGAGACTCACGTGTGTCCACTGTCTCCTGAATTGGGATGAAGCCTACAGGCAGAGTGTCCTTGATGTCAATGAGCTTCATATCCACTAACACGTTCCCTAAATGACTCTTGGGAAGAGAGAAAAGAGATACAGATTATTAATCTGAACACCCCTGTGGTGGGTTTGCCATTTTGGCTTCGAGATGCATATTTAACACAATGACTCATGCAGCTTTACTACAGCAGGTTAATTAGAGTAGGTGCCACTTAATGTTCCCCAGCGGCTATGCGGGGACTCGGGTGGCCCCTGGGAAGGAGCTTCATCTGTAGCACCTCAAAGCCACTCACTCAGACATGGCTTTGGTTAGCTAGACAGCAACCCAGGAGAAGCGTGAGACATAACCCAGCAGAGGGCAGCTGTGCACGCATGTCCTGGGACCAGGCTGCCACTCAGCCTGGAGCATGGGCTCTCAGGGGCCAGCAGGTTGTAGAAAAGAGCACATTCCTAGGGCAGTCACTGCAGCAGGGGAGCGCTGCGTCAAAGCCTACCAGATCGCCAGTCTGCATACTGACACACATTTCGGTTGCTGGATATGTTCTGGAAAATGCCAGGAATCACAAACTAATACAGACTGAAAAGCCCTGCTGCCTCAATATTACACATCTACTAAAATGACATGTACAAGGGCCTCTTATAGTTTCTACTTAGTGGTAGCATAAGGGGTCCACAGTGCGCGGTTTCTGTAACCAGTGCAAAAATACAATCTGAAGGCAGCACACGCCATTCTGTAACCGCAGGAGAGCATCCTCTGCAAACAACACCGGCATTTGCTGCCCACATTTCTGGCTGAAATGCTCCATGCCAACACTAGCTCGGAGAGCCAATCAAGGAATTCTTACCATCTGAACGCTGCACTATCGTCTCTCTTGGCCCCTCTCTATTTTCCTTCCTACCAATTTAAAATGGCACATCTGTGAGGTTCTTTCTTCAGTATCTGTCTCACCACAAGAGTTCAAGGGCCATGAGGACCAAAACTGTCTGTTACTACTCTACAACCAAGCGTAGCACGCTTCTTGGCACATGGTAGGTGCGCAATTATTATCTACTGAATAACGTAATGTTTTGGGGCACATTTTCAACAGGGTGGGCCAGAGTTGGAAATCAAATTGGATCTGCTTAGATGACAAATCTAAACTGTATCAATAAAAACAAAAGTATACTTAATAAATACATTATAAACCAAAAGCTCACAAGTGAAATAAATTCTTCAAACTTCACTATGACAGTCAATGTGTCAAGTGTCAACTGTGACCAGGGCTTTTATGGCACTGTTGTCACAAAACTGTTTCTTTCTCTCACAATTACTGCGTTTGGCGACTATTTTCTATTATTACATTTCAGGTAGCTGCGTCTTGGGGAAACAATGCACAGTGCAGTGCAGCCCGTGGAATGTGCAACCTTACTAATGCAGAATAAATCTCTGACCGTGTAGAAAAGGTTTGAAACGTTCACCTAACTCGAAAACATCAGCTGCTTTCAGAATTGCCTGATCTAATCTATCATAATTTTTTCTTTTCCTGGCAGTTGCCTTTCCGCGTCATCACTGCTTTCTGCATTGAGAAATTAACAACTGGGTATGTTTTCCTGCCCCGCAGATGGATGGGCATTCATCAATATCCTTCTCCAATGTCTTCGGCTTGACAAGTTGGGTTTTACACAAGTCAACTGCAAACCACTTAGCGACCTCACCCTCCACGCTCTACAAATGTCCCTGATCATAAAACCAGAACGTCAGTGGTGTGGCCATTAAAAAAAAAAAAAAAAAAAAAAAGCATCAAGAACCCTCCCATGCATACAAAATGGGAGGCTGCACTGTCAAGGCTTCCCACAGCCCAAGTGTGGTCCCTCCGTGCATGGGGCTGCTGCTGTACTGGGTTTAATACAGTAGGTCTGCGACACCTCTCCCCTCCCCCAGCCCATGCTCTCTTTCATTTCCTCCTCATAAATACGAAGAACGTATTCCCAATCCTTGTTGAGCAAATGATTCATGCCAAAAGCCCAATATGCACTGACTCAGGGTATTTATACTGTCTCTGGTAGCCAGTATTTGCTAGTATACTGTAATTATTTTTGACAACCTTGCATTTAAGGTAGCCACAGATAACCAACTTAATATTCAAATGTTCATAAATCCTTCTGTTTAATATCCTCCCTACCTAATCTATGTACATTATTATTACAGGTAATGCAGAAAGTACAGGGCATGAAAAGTGCAATTAATCTCGATCCTTCCCCAGGAAGCAATGTCACTCCAAAGCCAGGTTTCCGTGTTAAGAGCATTATTGGGGAAAAGGAACTTAGGTTCCAAAGGAGTGTCCCCAAACTCCTACACTGGGAGTCTCGAGCTGCCTAATTAAGAATCTGTCCAGTCTTGAGAGCCCACATCCCTCCTCTACAGTTGTAAAAATACACACTATACAATGTCCTGGTTGTGAACAGCAGGGCCAGGACAGACCGGCTGTAGTGGATTAAAACACACCCATTCCTACTGTGCTCCTGGGCTGGCAAGTGGGTACCTGCAACCCCCCTGAGTGGATCCCTCTGGATCTCACTAAAGGACTCAGTCATTCTTCTTCTGAAAACAAAATGCACCGACTTCCCACCCTCCTTCAGAGGGGAGGCAGGGACTCCTCCCACCGCCCTCACCCTCCTCCCCCAGCCCTTCCTCACACCCTGCCCCACCACACCCAGCCCGCAAGGGGTAAGGCTTACAAAGGGAGCAGTCAATAACATCTGCTTCACGTTCAACAGATGCTGACGAACTCGATACATTTTCCATCATACATTTACGCAGGACACTCCAAATTAGCAAGTACTGGTGACTTCTCTCTGTCATTTTTAGACTTGTCACTGTCCCCAACTCCAAGGGATCCAGGACTCTTTTGGCCTAGACTACCAATACCCCACAGCCTTCAGGGGAAATGCAAAACAAACCCCCAAAAGACAAAAAACCAAAAAACAACCAGAACTCAAAAACAATCAAAGTGATCGTGGCTGTCCTCTGAGGCCACAGTTGGGAACTGCAGCTTCAGTCAGGGAAGGTGGGGGCTGAGCAGAGATCAGTAAAGAACATCGTGAGACCACTGGGCACGGTGAGTTGTGCAAATCCTCAGGAGTCTGTCCTTGCTGCCTGAGCAGCAGTGAATGCACTGACCTGCACAAAGCGGCAGCCAGCAGACAGAACACAGGTGACAAAAGCTAAAAATATAAACAGTTTCAAAAACAGGCTTAGGTCCAACTCCAGGGACAAAGGGGCATGAGAGTCCACTGCATGTGGATATGGATGCAGGGGTGGAGGAATGGAGCAATGGGGGGAGGGTAGCTACCCCTATCTGCTCGAGCCCACAGCCGGAAAGGCAACCTGGCCTCCAGACTGTTCCTCAATGTCTCCTCGGGATGCACGACGAACCCCAGGGACCTGCTCAGACTCATTATAGGCTCAGCTGCCACCTTCTCACCTGTATGTGAAGGATTTCTAGTGTGTAGCACCAGGACCGTCTCTGCCCCATTAGAAACTCTGGACTTTACAGCAAGCATATATTACTCTCATAATTAGGGGGAAAAAATTAAAGCGATGTCTTCTCTCCCAGTCCTGAATACATTAGGAATAATGTTCCTAACAAAGACTTATCAATAAACAACAGGAACGGCTGATGGAAGAGAGTGCAAGCCAGAGGACCACGTGACTGTCTACATGCAGACAACACTGAAGGGGCACACAAGGACCCTGGGGTAGGACCACAGCTGTGTCGTATGTGATGCGGAGAAGACTCATTGTTCCCCGTCCACACTTCTGGGTGAGGATGTTTGAAATATTCTTTTCTTTTTAAACCATGAGCATATATTACTGTCATAACAAAATTTATAAAAATAAATTAATAAAAACATTCCTCCCCTTTTCTGTTTCTTTTTTTGCATTAGAAAGAGACAATAACATTTAGGCCAAAAATAAAATGTCACTCCTGAAAATGAAAATCTCAACTGCACCCTGTTTGGGGCTAGGGAACACCGGTGAACCTTGGGCAAGCACAAAAACTCTCTGATCTCAGGAAAGGAGCTAATACTTCAAGAGATTGTCTGAGGATGGAAGAGGTTTATTTGCAGAGTGCCTAGGACAGGCCTCCCTCAGAGCTGATCTGTGTAGATCCTCACAAAAGCTACTTCCCTTTTTTTCTAAGCCACTCATTAAAACATTCTGTTGGAAAGGGCTTAAGAGATAGCTTTAAAACATCCTAATTTACGGGCCCAAGAGTTCAGAACAGCATACTGAAAGAAACCTGCACCCGTGGTAGGTACCTACCTGCAGAAACAATGAAATGTCAAATGTCACAGAGACTCAGGGAGAAAGTCAGTCATTTTGGAAACAAGGCCGTGTCTGGGGAAAGAAGTGGTCGTGGAGCTCTGCCTCTGCATGCTGGCCAGGTTTAAATCCCGCTGCACAGGCAAATACTCACGTCCACACCCCCCTGTGATTTGTGACTTACAGGAAAGCTAGGCAAATGAGGGCTGGGAGAGAAATTTCCTGGTTCCCTTTTGAGAACACATTTTAATGGAATTCACTGTACACTTGGGTACATGGTTAATACTACTGTTAATAAATGAAACAGCGCTAGCTCCTGATTCTACCCAGTTCACTAAAACCACAGATTAATATGGCAATGAAAATAAACCACAACCACAACAACAAAAACAACAACAAAAAAAAAAAAAAAAAAAGAAAAGAGGAAATTTCAACCAGGCACGTAAATGCCTTGTGCTCACTCAGCAAACGGACACCACTACTAGACTTACATTTTCTTTGGAAAATGATCTCGTGAAACACAGGTATCTGGTAACCTTGGATTTAAATAAGCCGTCTTTCCAGAGGTCAGCATCCACACCATCTGCTGTCTGTGCAACCTGCACCAAAGAGACAGAAGAGGAGCGCAGGTGAGGCAGGCTGGAACCGAAGGTGTACCTGAGCAGCTTCTTCATACCTGCACCAATTAACACCGGCCCGGACTCTCATAGCATCTCATTAGTTCATTTTACCAGGCGCCGGGAAGAGACTTTCCAAAAGGGGGAAAGGGAGAGTGTGAAAAATACAACTTCTAAAAATATTGTCCCCAGGGAAGCCATTGATTAAAGACACCCTGACAAAAATGGTTCTAACGAGAAAAGAGCAACTTTTGTTGCAATGGACCAAAGAAGGACTGGAGAAGTCAGCACATTAAGTTGCTCATTACCCCTCACTCAGGGGACAGCAGAGGATGCAGAAAAAAGTCCAATAGGGTGTGACATGCCACCTGAGACAGGCACCGCCTGCGAGGAAACGGCCGCGGCTGCTTGCTCCAGGACCCTGGGGCCAGCCGGGGTGCTTCGTCATCGGGACCCTAGTGGGGACTGGGGGCGGGGTGCCAGGGAAACTTGCTCCTTGCTGTGTCTTCTCCCTACGAGCTCTGCAAGGGGTACTCAAGGTCGGAAACTGTCTCATGATAGAAAAATAGAAAAGATTCAGCTCCTTGTTTATAGTCTAAGAAGCCATTCTCCCGTGCGCGGCTATAGACGTGTTCCTCTCAGAAGCATCCAGGCATGAAGCCAGCCTTGAGTTGAGTCTTAAAGGACCTGTGTACTGGGCTGGGGTTTGGAGGGCCTCGTGTGAAGATTCCTGCTTGGGGGCAAAGAGTGGACAAGGAGACTGGAGAGCGCGAGAGAAATGGCTGGACGAGGGCAACACAGCCCCCATCTCCTTCCATCTCCTTCTATTCCTGGCCTGGCAGGGCGTGCTCTGCTTTCTCGCCTAGCAGCCCGGCAGGACGGCACTTCCGGCCCAGGGTCTGTGGCTGGCACCCCCAGGGGGCACAGCCGGGAAGACAGAGGGAGCGGCAACCCATTTGGGGATGAGCTCCAAAGCCGTCTGCTCTCTGTCGTCCCCCTGGCTGTCCTGTTGAGGTTTAGACTTTGGGATGAGGTCCTTGATCTGACAAACTGCTGAAAGCACCTCCATGCTTTGCACAAAAACTGCCCTGATTCAGCCCCATCCCGAGTACACGCTACACAGCACGCCAGTGGCCTGGGGCTGTCACACGCGCAGGGCAGGGGCATGTTGGGCTGTGCTGCCAGGACATCCCCAGGGCCCCCCACAGCCATGTTCTCTGAGGCTGCCTCAGAGAGGCCCAAATGCCAACTGGCAAAAGAAAAATGCCTTTTTCCCCCCCTCCGAATGGAACAATTGTAAATTAGCAAATGCAACACAGGAAAAGAAAGGTCCTTATGCTACCTTTGCAAATATGTTTGGCCTGAAACCTGGAGGAGGAATGGTATGGGGATAATTTCAGGAACCGCTGGCTCCAAGTATGGCACCCCCATAGAAAGACATGAAATAGAACAGCATCAGGCCTCCTCAGCACTTTTCCCCATAATGGTCTTCCATCAAGTTTCTTGGAAAACATGAGATTTCAGGCAGTGGCACTAACTCTCTGCCACCAAGGATCCCCTTGGTCGATTTTCTCCTGTGGGTTCCAAGTTTTGAAAGACTTTTGTTTCCCCAACTGTCCTTTTTCTGTACTTCCTCAATTCTAGGACGTAGTCATTTAAACCCACGGATTTAAAGACTAAACCTTCAGGAAATAAAGAACAGGATGTCCAAAGGTACAGATCTATTTTAAGATGCATTCCAATTTCAGAACCATTAAGATGTGAAAAAAAAGATGCTATAGGAATAAGGAAATAAAGGAACCTATATGGTTTCTCTATAATAAATACATTGTCTTTAATAAATTAAAAAAAAAAAAGAGTCTGCAGAGCACTGGAAGGCTGTGGAACCCCAAACCAGGACCTCAGAAGACAGAGCTGTCTTTAACCTTCCACTAGAAAAGGAATGGAGTTCAGAAGGGCTCTGCTGGATATCTGGGAATTGCACTGGGGGGTGGGTGTACCCTAAATCAAGACTACTGTTTCCAGGGCTTGGAAATGATGGTTCCCTCCACTTGCCGCACTGCCTGAGTTTTCCTTTTTCTGGGTGAAAAGCCACCTCACTGTGATAAAGAGGCCGGGGCAAGTGTGTAGAGAGAAAAAGCTCGCAGCAGGCCTGCCCCTTCCTCAGAGGCCCAGACCGTGGTGGTCCTCCAACCCGCACTGGAGAAGCATTAAAAATGGACCACCAAAGGCCTGGCTTTGCCCTGAGGCCACAACTCATTTGCAATGAAGTAAAAATGTGCAATGCCCTCCAACCTCAACCAAGGGGAGGTGAGGAGGGTGGTGAGAAAGCGCGTGAGCAAGCATAAGCGTGTGTGCGCGCGTGTGCGTGTGCGCGCGTGTGTGCGTGTGCGTGTGCGTGTGTCTGGGCAAAATGCAGAGCTGCCCAAAGCCTGGACCTAGGCAGGGGATGGACTGAAGTGAGCAGTGAGAAGACCCGGGGTCCCAGCTCATCAGGAGCACTAGGGAAGTGGGCCTGGTGTAACAAAGCCGGGCATTCCCAGCCTTGCCTTCCACGTAACAATAAGATGTACCCAGAAGCTGCTTTCCAACCCAGTCACATAAAGATGTTTACTAATCTTAATTCTTCCCATCCCAAATTAGATGAGCTAACGACCTACAAGATACATTATGTATGAGGCAGGTAGCTGCATGGGCACCCCTGCAGAAATTCACACCTCAACTCTGACCATGAGACCCCAGCAGCCAGCCTCCGAATCCTGGGACAGGAAGGGCGAGGTGGGCTGAGGGCTGCAGGAAGACGTGCTCTAGGTGCAGCACAGCCCATGAAATTAAGAGGCCGACTTGAACTTGACACAGGATGACTGAAGCAAGCCCCCTCCTCCTGGGGGCACTGTGGTTAGAGATGATGTATGTGCAAAGCATCTGCCTTAGTGCACACCAGGGAGCACCCACAAGGCCAGCGCTAACATGTCTAAACCCAAAATGGAGACATCTAGTCTCACATTGAACCAAACCTTTAAAGTGATGTCATTCTACATCAAGATGCAAAAAGTCCTAAACTGTCACACTGGGGTTCAGCTGGTCCTCTGGGATTCCTTCCCCATCTCTGGGACTCGATTTAGTTTTCAAACACAAGTTATACACATGTGCAATTAACGTTTACCTGCCCCCTGCTATCCTGCCGCTGGACTATAAGCTTCACAAGGAAAACGGCGACCCTCACCTCTTGCTTGTCGTAAGCATAGGGCCTGATACGTATGAGCTCAATCAAAACTTGTTGAAGGAATTAAAGAATCAGCCATTCAATCAGGAGCAAAATGTGAAAAGCTATACACCTTGTTAGCTCCCCAAGTAAGGTAATCTCAAAAAAAATTTTTTTAAGATTTTATTTATTTATTTATTTGAGAGAGAGGGGCAGGGAGGGAAGGAGCAGAGGGTGAGGGACAAGCAGATGCCACACTGAGCATAGAGCCCAACATGGGGCTCGATCCCACGACCCTGAGATCATGACCTGAGCCCAAATCAAGAGTAAGACGCTTAACTGACTGAGCCACCCAGGCACCCTGGTAATCAAACATTTTAAAATGAAGTTTCCAGGATATAATCCCTTCAGCTGAGTGTATCCCCTTGAGGATCCCCACTCTGTGAGGCCATATACCCATTTCAACGATGAGGTCCCTTATTCTTCTGGTCATCTTGTTGGTATCCGGCCCTGTTCCCCAAATCACTGGAGTATGTCCCATGCTGTCACTATGCCTTGAGTATCTGTTACGGGGCTTCACACGCGCGCACACCCACACACATACACTCTCACACACTCTTTTATTACACACACACGTGCGCACACACACCCACACAATACACTCTCTCACACATACACTCTTTTATTACACACTCACACACTCATTCTGCTCTCTTATACACACTCGCTCTTACATGCCCTCCCTGTCTTTCCAGAGTCTCCCTGGGTACAGGGGCGGCCTCTTGGGAGGAGTACGTGGGCAGTGACAGCCTGAACACATGGCTTTGTCTCCCTTCGCTGCCAATATTCTTCTCAAATGACAACCATGTGAAGAAGGTATGAACCCACTAAAATAAAGAGCAAGAGCAGAGTATGATGCAAGAGAGATGCCAACAACTGTTTGGAGATGTGGAGTGAAAGGCTGGGCTTTGGCAAAGTGGAGTGGGGGTGACATCTAAGGACCTGCAGGGACTAATGATCTGTCCCCAGACCCTGGGCCCCAGAGCTACCAGATTCCATTGGGGTGAGGGTGGGGGCTTTGGGGGTGGGTGCGTGTAAGTTTCCAGCTGAAATAGGAAGATCCGAACAAGGTCTATAAACATGGCAGTTATACTCCCAGATCCCTGCCTCCATTTCAGATGTATTTTCTGCAGAAATGGAATCAGCAAGGCTCAGGACTCCAGAACACCAAGAGGAAGTAGACTCCAGACTGAAAACAGGGGGGTAACTATGCACACTGAATGGTGGGCCCTCCCCTGTCCGCCACCCCGCCCTGCTCCCACCAGGCTTATCCTCCTTCCTGCTGCTGGCACCTCAGCAGCCAGGGGTATCCCCTAAATGCTGGATATCGAAGGATTCATCTCTGGAGCCACTAAAGAATGCCAGAGAGCGGATCGGCACACCCAGACTCTGGGGTCTCCTGCTCCAAAAGCTACTTCCCGGCTACATCACCTTGTGAGCTGCCCACAAACCGACAGGCCCCACGCCCACCCCCGGCACTCCAACCTCATTCTTAAATATAAACTGACAACAGAGGATCACCAGGTGCTGGGGGTTAAGTCTCAAATATGAAAGACAGGGTCCAAACTAGAAAAACGGGCATCTGAAGGTAGCACAAATAGTATGAGGAAACAAAGTTAAGGAACAAACAACCAAACCTATAATTCATGTAATTGCAACCACCAAACAATAAGGGAATATTGTGAAAAAAAATTCTAAAGGATCAATTTAAGAATAA